GTCTCATGTAATCTCTCAATTAGTGTTTCAGCCGTGCAAAGACGTCAATATAACGGCTTGTAAACAATGTCACGTAATGTCACATTTACCTCAGAAAAACATATTCGGTGACCATAAACTCATTATTAAGCTAGAAAAATAAACTGTAGAGAGGGGCATTTTGCAAAATATATGCACCATATAACATATTCACTATAATTTTTACTGTTCTTCAATGTTTCATTTAGGTTTGAATAAATCCATCAAGTTTTTGACAGCCACCATTTAAATGTTTATATTTCAAAAACGAATTGAAGTATTATGTAGCTAATTTTAACTTTATTATTTTAAAAACTTCAAGTGTAATTTTAGCAGTTGTATATTAGCCTACAAATCAGTCAATTTTAACCTTTAATATTATAGTAATGTAGTACCAACTGACTATTTTACAGCATTAGTTGAGAGATTTTTTTCCTTGAGAAAATTTGGCATGTACTGTAGTGTACCTGATATGTATCCAAAATAATCAATATTAAACCGAATCGAAAGCTTGTGAATGAGAATCAAATCGTGAAATGTGTGTCAAAATCCAACCCTACTGAGCTACTACTAAATATTGTAGAAACGTAATTTGCTGTTAAGTTGCTTTGCAACAATTTGTATCGTGAAAAGCACTATACAAATGAACTTGAATTGAATTAGCAATATTAATAATGTAAACGTGAGCCAATCAGTTTTGTTAACCTTTCTAATTGTTTAGCTACACTTTTCTCACTTGAAAAAGAACGGCTGTTACGTAAAAACATATGTAATGATCCACCCAACATATTAAATAGATTACTTAAGCTGTTGTCGGTTGCTATTCTTTAGAGACCCACCAAATGGTGCTATTTATCAATAGAACATGAATGAACATTTACAGTAAGAATATTAGTAAAACATTATTTGAATATAGATTAGTTCTTGCTGGATTCGTCCATTCTTCTCATGCAAGTCCTGCCTTCTTCCTGTGATAGTTTAACGATTCATCCGTGGCAGGAAAAACATTTCCTCAATGACCAGAAGTGAAAGAGAACTTGTTGCAAAATACATAATGATGCAAGTAAAAATTATGCCGTGTCCTCCTCTACCAAACAAATTCATCTGAGACTAAAAGGCAGTAATGCTATACTATTTCACACCATTCAGTCTACAAGGAGAAATCAAAAACAGCAACACGGATGAAAATATCAGTAATACTGAGTGGTCTTCTTTTAATTTTCAGACAAATCAATAACAGTACTAAAAAAAAGACACGGACAATAGATATAATGCATGTGTTAGAGTGAGAGAAGAACCCAATAGAACCACTCTAAATGTATGAAATTAGTGCTATAACATGACCCTATATGATTATTGCATGTGTGTGTGTATATGTATATATATATATATATATATATATATATATACAAATATACGCATACATGCACGCTGTGTGTGTGTGTGTGTGTGTGTGTGTGTGTGTGTGTGTGTCTATAATATGTTGAGATCAATAACACAATTCTGACAGTATCATCCATGCTAAACAAACTCAGATTCAATGCCACATAATTATAAATAAGTACAGCTTTTCTCAGTTTCCAATGATGCTGTTTAACCAATTTTAACTGAGCAAACATGCACTGCGCAATCCCTTTACAATTCAATCAGCATTTAATGCAAATTAGCTATAATACGCTAATATGAAAATATAAATAATTTCTGACAGTTAACCGCCTTCAACAGGCGACTGCAACGGATGACAGATTGAAAGCCAATACCGACATAAATTAACTATTATATTAAAATAAACCTTAAATGATGTAATACAATAGCATGATAATAATTGTTAAAGCGCCTGTGGTCAAATCTGACCGGTTCTCCTCAGCCTCAGCTAGCCGCCTGTGCTAACTGCCCTCCGGTGCCTTTTATCACGTTTAATTCGTTTAATACCCATTTAAAATACATATGCTCCTACCGTACATATTCATAATTCGACACTGCACTAAGTCGAGCGTTGATATTGCTTACAGAAAGAAAAATGTAGATAATATTTTGAGCGTCATTGGCACTCACCGTATCCTTTCTGTTTGTTTCTCTGCGCCGGGCGTTGGCAGGTCCGCGCGCGCGGGGTTTCCGGACCTGAAGAGCAGGGGCGAGCCGCGCGCTGCGTCACTCCAGACCAGCACACTTCATTACAACCAAGACATTATTTGTATTTCGAGTCTCTCCAATGTACTGATAACAAAAAATGTAGAGATACAATTTTATTCGCTAAAGAGTTTAAATTACTTGAAAATTGAACGGGTATGTATGGTATATGCTGACTTTAAAAAAATATATATTTTTTAAATATTATTGATTTTTTTTCTTTCTATGTAATGTAAACCCATTCCTTTAATTGTGTTATCTTTCTGGATGTCTTGTTAAAGTTGTAAATGTTGCATGTTACGTCTTTAATGTCTAATAAAAAAATTAAAATAAAAAACAAGAAATTAAAGGATTTGGCAAAATGCAAAGCTAACACATATGCAACGTAGTATCATTTAATTTTGATATGCACAGTCAACCACATGGATTGTGTCCATACACGGGGAAAGAAATCAAGCTGTGTGTCATCAGCATAGCAATGGTAGGAGAAGCCATGTGCCTGTATGATGGGACCCAGTGATGTTGTGTACATGGAGAAGAGGAGGGGTCCAAGAACTGATCCCTGAGGAACCCCAGTGACAAGTTGATGTGCTTTGGATACCTCCCCTCCCCAAGACACCCATTTACGAGTTAATTCATTTGTTTTACACTGCATGCTGTTCAAAAGTTTGGGATCATTATAAGATGTTTAATGTGTTTTAAAGAAGTATCTTCTGTTCATCAAAGCTGCATTCATTTGACCAAAAATACAGAAAAACAGTAATGTTTTAAAATAGTATTACCATTTAAAATACTGGTTTTCTATTTGAATAGGCCTATACTTTGAAATATAATGTATTTCTGTGATGCAAAGCTGGTCAGCCATTGCTACAGTCTTCAGTGTCACATAATCCTTCAGAAATCATTCTAATATGCTGGTTTATTATCTATTTTTGGAACCTGTGATACTTTTCAGGATCACTTGATGAGTTAAAAAGAACAGTGTTCATTTAAAATAGAAATCGTTTCTAACAATGTAAGTCTTTATTATCATTGTTTAAATCAATTTAACACCTCCTTGTTGAATAAAAGCATTCATTTCTTTAAAAAAAAACGAATCCAATAAATGCAGCCATGATGAGCAGAAGAGACTTCTTTAAAAAACATAAAAAATCTTACAGATCCCAAACTTTGGAACGGCAGTGTAGCCTATATAAAATATTATTAGTAGCAATTTAATAAGAATAGGAATACATTATTGATATATTAAATTTGAATATATTTCCATTTAAATAGGTTTATAATATTGTTACTTAGCATATTTAAGTAAGAAAATCTTAATTTTAATTACGTATATGTTGCCACCGTACCGTTTATGTTTTATTGTTTTGCCATTCTTTGCGATACGAGCAACAGTGTTGATATGTAGCTAATTACAGCAATAAAGCTCGCTGTTTGTCAAGATAAGATGTACTACATCACCTTATCTTACAAACCACGAACTCAGTCTTCATTGTAGAGTGTATGGTTTTATCATGTCTGATTATTTCTCTAATTTAGGTTGCTTTTTTGACCTACTTCTCTAAATATTTGACGCACCACACGATGGCAGTGCGTGTCAAAAACAAGGTCACATGACCGTTTCAAAATAAAAGCACCCTGTTTCAGCTCAGTAAAGTAAGTGTAAATAATATGAGTGTAAAATTAAAAGAAAATTATTTTACAAATCTAAAAATACGCACCATACAATTAGATAAGGGAAACAGCCTGGTCAAATTTTTATGGGATATTTAGAAATTGGCGGCTTAGACTTTACTTTTAAAATATACAGATCACTGTCCTTGTTTATCATATGACAGCTTCGGAACACATGGTTTTCAGAGACGTCGATAGTTGGAGGTTACATAGTAAATTGCTTTATTTATGTTTTTAAGCGTGATCCGATAGGTGAGTGAGTCGTTAAATTGAAAGCATGCACTTTTTTATTTTAATGTTGCATTATTAACTCAATCAGCGTCATTGCCATGCACAGACATGCTTCTGTTCTGATCTTAAGTCAGTTTCTCTCCAGAATGACTATCGCGGATCTCTGGGATCAGACAGTATCGGCCTTTCTACTGAGTCCATCTCAGTTTTTGGCCACCAGCACCTCTGAGAACTTCTTGGCTGAACTTCTACACGAACTGCGGAATGATAAAGCCAATGATCAACTCAAGGTAACGAAAGCAGACAAACACACATTATGATACATGTGGATGTGCATGTATACAGACGTTGAAATAGTAGAAATATATTAACAGTTAAAAATACAGGGTTATTTTACTATAACTGGATGCTATTACAGTTTTTAATATAATATTGAAGTCGTTTTTATTTTAATATTTTCTGTTTTCGTTTTAATTTTTACGATTTATTCATTTTGTCGTGTATTATATTTTTTATTTTCAACTTGTGTATAGTTTTTATTAATTTTTATTTCAGTTTTAGTTCAAATAAATGAAAATGAGAAGATTTTGCTTTGGCAACTAGCTGAAATAAAATGCGTTTTTATTTTAGTTTAAGTTAATTTTATTTAACGTTTTTAATGGTTTTAGTTAAAAATATGAATCATGCTCCACAATGTTTGTAGCTTTTCCAGTAACTAGAACTATTAATGAACTGTAAAGCTTTGTATAAATGCTGTGCATTTCCCTTGTAATTGACTTACTTTTGTTTAATAGTGATTTTTCTTCCTTATTATAAGATTCTCCTTGTGTCTGTGCTACTGGAGCATCCAACCATTCTCTGCCCTTCTTCCTCTGTGGGAGAGGAAACAGCCCTTGAACTACTGTCAGTCTTCTCTCACACGCCACAGAAATCCATCATCCTCAAGAGCAATGTCATGCTGGCCATCACCAACGTGATAATATGCACAACCTGCCTGGCTAACCACACGAAGATGGCTGAAAACTGGCTGGACCTTCTATTTCAGATGATTCAGGACACCAATGACTACAGATGCGGCCTATCCCAGCAGCCACTAAGGGCCACCGCTTGTGAGTGTCTACGAGAAATGGAAACCTGTAGCCCTGGTCTTCTTTCTCAAAAGTTAGAGGCCCTGTATCTTCTAAAACAGCAAGAGACCACAGTTCTGCATCAGTCCTACTGTATGCTTTATACACTTGGGCTGAAGAACGCCATAAGGATCTTGACGAGCCAAAAAGATGTTACTGACCTAGAGTTCAAGAGCATCTTAGGAGGAAATGAAGGGTTTGTATGGAAAAGCAATCAGTTACGATTGACCTTGTTGCCAATAAACATGATGGTACAAGTCCCACGTTTGCCACCAGGTTTGGATTGTAAAGAACTCAAATCAATTATGTCGTCACTCTTGGAGGAGTCTTACCTGCAAACGCCTATTTCCCAGTCTGCCCTACTTAGGGAACTTGTAGAAATTGTCGCCATGGTTCCGGGACTCTCTCCAACATTATTCAAATCGCAGCTTCTGCGACTCTTCGGAACGGCAGACGTTTCGCTCATGCATGCCACGCTCTTTATGAAGGACACATTCACAGATAGCCTTTTCTCCGCCGAGGATGAGAACTTCCTGCTCAAGCGTCTCGTGGGCACAGCCCAGCATCCGCTCCTAAGAGTTCCCGAAAAGCTCTTCTACATGGAATGCATCCTGCACTTCCCTGAGAACCGGCCCATATCCAGCAGCGGGGAAGAGAGTTTACCTGTGCTGGTTACGCCACGTCTGGCAGTGTCTCTTCATCCAACGGTTTTCAATGATAGTGCAACTATGCTCTGCAGGCTAAACCTTCTTTGTTTGGTGCACCTTGAAGCAGATGAGGGCGAAGCGGATAAAGGAATCAGCTACCTGTTTGAACACATAATGGCCCTTTTGAAAATCATAGACAATGACGGTAGCAGAGAAGTGGTGGTGACCTCTTTCAGAGCGTTGTTCATTTTTCTCATGCACTTCAGTGGCATGGAAGAACTCTCCGAGAAGGTGATCGACAAATTATGCGACATAGACACAACAAAAACACAGCTCCGATCACAGCGTCCTCCATCCTCCTGTTGTTAACGTAGTTCTTTGTTTCTGTTGTTGAACACCGCGCACAAATGACATCGCTGTCGAACGGCTTACGTCATTTCCTAGTACACACTGTCGGTGCGAATGCAACCCTTTAAATGGTACTGGGAAATAGTTTGCGCAAAATCGTCCCAGTACTTTAGTATCGTACATTTAGTTCTGGAACTAAAGCAGTGCAAAAGGGCCTAAAGACACATTAAAGGGTTAGTTCACCCAAAAAGGAAAATTCTGTCATTAATTACTCACCCTCGTGTTGTACCAAACCCGCAAGACCTTCGTTCATCTTCGGAACACAATTTTAGATATTTTTGATGAAATCTGAGTTCTCTCTGACCCTCCCATAGACAGCAAGGTAACTACCACGTTCAAGGTCCAGAAAAGTACCAAGATGATTGACAAAGTAGTCCGTGTGACATCAGTGGCTCAACTGTAAAGTTAACCACTTTGGACGCGCGTACACGACAGTACCATGACGAGAGCATGTGGTGACGCAGTAGAGACGAAAATGTGGAATAAAGTCGTTATTTTTGTTTTCTTTGCGCAAAAAAGTATTCCCGTAGCTTCGTAACTTTACAGTTGAACCACTGATGTCACACGGACTACTTTGTCGATCATCTTGGTACTTTTCTGGACCTTGAACGTGGTAGTTTTTGGAGTAATTAATGACAGAATTTTCATTTTTGGGTGAACTAACCCTTTAAATGCATGACTGAATGACAGATTTACAGGTCCAGTAGTAGTGAAAAGGCAGTTTTCAGTATGCAAAACTGAAAATTTTAATTTGCCAAACAATTTCTATTAACAAACAATTAGTATCTTTTAAGACGATGTGGCTTCCATGACCAGATAAGACTGTGAGTGAGCTGTGCCCTTTCACTGTGAAAGACTTTCAAAGTTGGGCTCAGTACAGGCTGGTAGAGCAGTTTGTCTGTTCAACAGTTTATCCATGATGCCAATTTCAGCATCCCGCTTTTCAACCTCCTCTTGTGGTGTCCAAGACATGTCATGTTGGAGTTTGTATGCGCCAAGGAACTTGTGAGGGCAACTAGGACCCCATTCCTGTAAGAGATTAAAACCGTATCATAATAAATTAGCTGTTAAATACTTAAAATAAACACAATTATTTGTTTTCTGGTGGCCTTTTCTATATTTTTTTTAATTAGTGAACAGCAGAATTCCTCATTTCTGAGTTTGCAATTACAGTCACGCATAGTAAACATTTTGTTTCACTATCACTACTAGTTGGCACCAACCAGTTCAGATTGACCTCACTTCTCACTCATGTCAACTGATGAGACCCAGACACTCATAATGTGGCAATCAACTCACCTGTGGAGACAGAATGGAGAAGTACTGCTGTCCGGATTCACGCATGTAAAGATAATACATGTTTCCTGGTTTCTTTACAACATTGCAGGCAGCATGGTGAAGCTCAGCATCTTTCTTGGCATCTTCTAAAACCTAAAGTGCAAACACAAAATTATTTAACCATTACTTATGTCACATATTAGATTATTGTCAGAGATATTTAAACATTGAAGGAATAGTTCACCTAAAAATTTTAATTTGCTTAAATTTGTTTCTTCATGGGAACAGATTTGGAGAAATGTAGCATTACTCTGCAGTGAATGGGTGCCGTCAGAATAAGATAAAAACATCACAGTAATCCACACTCACTTGTGAAGTGAAAATCTGCATGTTTGCAAGAAACATATCCATCAAAACGTTTTTAACTTCAAAACTGGAATTGTGGATTACTTGAGGATTGTTTTTATCAACTGTTTAGACTCTCATTCTAACGGCACCCATTCACTGCAGAGGATCCATTGGTGAGCGAGTGATGTAATGTTATATTTCTCCAAATCTGTTCTGGTGAAGAAAGAAACTCCGTTATATATTGGATGGGGGAAAAATAACTTTTGATAAACTATTCCTTTAAGTCTAGGGACATTTGCGGTACTGCTGTAAATCAAAATGGTAATTTGATTGACAGTTCAATCTCACTTTTCTTGCTTGCTCCTGAAGGTATCTTATCTGGTCAGCAATCACTGTAAGTTTGTTGCAAGCATTGGCTCTGATAAAGTCATCTCCCTAAAATTCCCAAAATACATAAATAAATGAATCCACGACTGATAAAAAAAAAAAAAACTGTATATCCATATCAGTAAAGTGATAGAGCTAAAGCATCATTTACCTTCTGTACTTGCTGTGCCAGAGCAACTAGATCCATGGGATCCCCAACCCGGTTAGTCTGGTAGGGGCTCACCAGTGCCATTCCACTCGGGTTACTGCTGGTCTCCACCAAAGTTACTATAATATTAACATTGTTGACATGTAAAATCCTGTTGCACACCATAGAGATGATTTTTAGTGGCAGACTCCTCGCCAAAATACATGTTAAATCATGCTCATTTTCCAAAATGGCCTAATTATTATAGAGAAGAAGAATGTTTCTGCTCCATTTGGGACGATCACATCCTGAGAATGGGAATGGGTGTGGGACACCGAGAATCATCTAAGACAATGGGGTGTCTGAAGTAACTTAATTAACATAGAGCACAGCTGTTACGATAGAAACAACTTATTTTACATTAAGAGTAGTAAATTGTAACTGTATAAAAGGTATGAGTTAAAGATCAGTTGAAGTTCAGGGTTTATTCTGACTCCGTTGAACCCAAGGTAGTACATGTACTTTGTCACTGCTATGCAGCAAAAAACATCTTCAAATCTTCAACATCCTAATTTTTCTTACAATATATTACGCCACTGCCATAATAAGAGAAATAAAAATAAGAGAATGATATATATAATAAGAGAAATTGCTTGTTACATAGTAAGAAGAATGGCATCTACGCTGATATTAGGCTCTTTCATTCTTATTCGGAAGTCACTGTAGCCATACAGATCCAAACCAGGTGGATCAGCACCTAGAGACGACCTCTACAGCCCTGAATGTCAGCGGAGACCATGTCAAATAGACCAGCACCCAGAGACAGATCCCCTACGAAGACCTCGTCACCTCGACGACCATCGGCACAAGGCCATGGAAACCAGACAAGTCCTCTGCACAATCTGACGTGCGTTGCAGCCTGGAATTAAACCACACCAGGCTGGTTTTGTCTGGCCAGAGAAGAACTGGCCCCTAGCTGATCCTGGTTTCTCCCAAGTATTTTGTTCGCCATTTCGGTCACCGATGCCACCGATTGCCACTGTCACCTTTGGCTTGCTTAGTTGGGGACGCTTGACTGATTTCACAGACACTATTGGAAGAGAGCTGAACTGGATGATGACGACATCACTGAATAATCAATGAACTGACTTTAATTGGAAAAATGACTCTGTGTTACTGTCCTCTTGCATTATTGACAAACTATTTTCCTGTTTGACACTGTAAAGCTGCTTTGACACAATCAGTATTGTATAAAGCTCTCTCTCGCTCTTTATATATACATATATATATATATATATATATATAGCGCGAGAGAGAGAGAGAGAGAGAGATTTACAGGAGTTTCTTATGCTCATCAAGGCTGCATTTATTTGATCAAAAATATAGGAAAAAGTGTAATATTGTGAAATATTATTATGATGTAAAATAACGTTTTTTTTCTATTTTAATATACATTAAAATCTAATTTATTCCTGTGATGCAAAGCTGAATTTTCAGCATCATTACTCCAGTCTTCAGTGTCACACGAAATCATTCTAATATGCTGATTTATTATCAGTGCTGGAAACTTGTGCTGCTTAATATTTTTTTGAAACCTATGATACTTTTTTTCAGGATTCTTTAATGAATAATAAGTTAAAAAGAAGAGCATTTATTTAAAATAGAAATCTTTTCTAACAATATACACTACAATTCAAAAGTTTGGGGTCAGTACATTTGTATTCTTTCTTTTTTTTTTTTTAAGAAATTAAAACTTTTAATCAGCAAGGATGTGTTAAATTGATAAGAAGTGATAGCAAAGATTTACATTTTGAATAAATGCTGTTCTTTTAAACTTTTTATTCATCAAAGAATCCTGAAAAAAAGTATCGACACTGACACTTTATACTGGAGTAATGGCTGATGGAAATTCAGCTTTGCATTACAGAAATAAATTATATTTTAAAGGATATTAAAATAGAAACCATTATTTTATATTGTAATAACATTTTGCAAGATTACTGTTTTTCAATTCATTTCACTTTTTCAGGCTGCATATGAAAAATGTCCAGAACTAAGCGGATTGTTGTCTGGATATCGACTGACTGTTTTTGCTGACACAAATGATTCCAATTTCCTATTCATTTCATTCAGTGTGTGAGATCAGTTTATCAATAAAGGTTTTTTTTGTTTTGTAAGTAAATATTTCACATTTACACTGTATAACTGCAGGTAATTTGGAAAAGACCAAGCAGGTGCAGGTAACACAGGGATAGCATCATATAACTATAGATTCAACATAACTCATTTATTTGTTCTGGTACAGTTGATTAGTACTGCTTGCAAAAGATCTGACCACTGTGAACTTGTCTTACATTTATATAGATAACCTTTTCATTGTCTGAAACCATATTATTTGCAATACATCTTTCAGTTTGAACCACATGAACCTCATGCATCTGTATCGTATTCAATATAAAAATAATTACAGACATTTTACTAACACCTTTGTCCATTATTTTACCAAAGCTATTGTTTTGTTTTGTTTAGTTTTTTTACTTGGTTACTGTCAGGAATATGGACCTGTTTTGTTGTGTTTTCTCCTATGTGCTCCCCGTGACCCAGTTTTTCCCTCTCCTTGAGTAGTTATTTGATTCAGCTGTATCCCGTTAATTACCCCTCGTTAAGCCCTGTATTTAAAGTGTTGTCTGTTCCCTGAGTCCTTTGTCTGGTGTCGTCCGTATTATGTGCTACGTGTGTGTTCCTGTCAAGCCCTGTGTTACCCCTCGTGTTGGAAACTGTTATACTGTTATCCTGAATCTCCTTCGTCTCCGTGCTCCTTTGCTCCTCACAGTAGCATTGTGACAGAACATTTGTAATTCTCTAATTCTCTATTCATGCAACGGGAAAGAGCAGTGTTGGGGGTAACGCATTACAAGTAACGCGAGTTACATAATCAGATTACATTTTTCAAGTAGTAAAGTAACACATTACTTTTTTAATTTAAAAGAAAATATCTGAGTTACTTTTTCAAAAAAAAGTAATGCCAGTTACTTTGTTTTCCCATTTATTGACTGACAGCTCTCCTGTCCCCACACTGGGAGAAATCGGGAGTACAGAGGAGTTGTGTGCGCTGTGTGAACATGATGCTGCTGTAGTTCTAATTCATCCCACTCACAAAAAACAGATTTAGTATTCATCAAAATCAATTAAAACAGTGAAATGCAAACTCAGAATATGAAGCAAACCTGCAATAATTAAATATGGTAAATAACACAAATGTATCTAATCCCATTTTATTAACTGATGTCTTTGCTGCTGATCTAGTTCAACCGTACTAATAAGCAAAAATGACTTTAGATAAACTAACAATTGTGCTTCATTGTTTTGTTGTTGCTGAGGAGTGTTTCTTCTCCTGTGTTCTACTGTACAGACGTGAATTTACTTTTGCTTCAGCCTGAGGTTTATTCATTACACTTTTTGGTGTGAAAGGGCTTTTATATTTGCTATAAATAGAACTTTTTATATTAAAAACAATCAAGCCCTGCTCATATTTTAAAAGTAACGCAAAAGTAATGTAAGTTACATAATTAGTTACTTTTTTAGGGAGTAACGCAATATTGTAATGCATTACTTTTAAAAGTAACTTTCCCCAACACTGTATATATATATATATATATATATAAATGCCAGAGTGGTTTTTAAAGCTTTCTGCACTGATCTGATCTGACATTCCACGTATTCCATCAAGAAACTACGGCGAATGTTGTGAAGGTTATTATGTAACAGGTTGGATAAGCTCTCGAGAGTGAAAGTAAGCGCCTCTGGAGTATTTTTTAAATGATTATTATATATATTTTTTATGAAATAAAGCAAATCATTTTAACTTCTGAACATGAGTGCTGGTAGCTTAGTATCATGGCACTGAATATAATGGCAATAATGGGACATTTCATAACATTACAAAAGTTTCGTCAATTTATAACAAGCATATATTTTGTTTGTCATTGATAATACTTTGTAGTTAAACATTTAACCACTGTTTTGATTATTACTGTGGTGCGGTGGAATGACTGACTGACCAATTCAATAAAACCGACAACCTAAACTAAAAATAATTACGGGGTTTACCGTTGAAAGCACTGTCTTACCCGTGGTGGTTTTGTTGGGTTGTTGTGGTAGACAGACAGTTTTATCCATTCTGTAATGAAACATCCCGTAGCGCTCAGCAACTGAACACAAGACTTCTCGCCGGAGAGTGAGTCACTAAAGTCTGCATCAACACTGAGGAGGCGTTTCTGGGGTCCTACTGTGTTTCCCGAATCGAGTAGTAGCCGTGATAGTTGCCTGTGTACAAAAACCGATATTTTTGTCAAATAATAATTTCCAAACATATTTAATGAGGGTTTAAACTATAGCATGTGTTACTAAAATAATACTTTTAAATAACACAATGCGTATTCATATTTATTATATCGATAACTCAAATATAAAGGGATCATGCTTGTTTAGCGGTAGCCTTTCTGGCCTGTTATGTAGATGGCAGATAACATAGTAACGTGAGTTTTCTGCAGTTACGAAAGATCTGTTTGAAATGATGAAACCAAAAACCTGCAAGTCTGTGCAAGTTTATTATTTGTTTTGCACTAACGTTACACCGTTGGACGATTCCTTCATATTATCTGAATTATGCAAGTTGTTCACTGGTTTTATCTCTTTCTTAATTTTTTACAAAGATCAACACTTTAAACCTTAGCTCTGTCTCTCTCTCTCACACACACACACACACACACACACAGGTTTGTTTTTATGGTTTATGGGAATTCTCCATAGGCGTAATGGTTTTTATACTGTACAAACTGTATATTCTATTGCCCTACACCAACCCTACCCCTAAACCTACCCCTCACAGGAGACTTTCTGCATTTTTAGATTTTCAATAAACTTCATTCTGTATGATTTATACGCTTTTGTACCCGTGGGGACCACAATTTAGGTCCCCACCGTGACACGAGTCCCCATGAGTCTGTGTGTAGTCAGGTTTAAGTCCCCACCAGAATATATAAACCAGTACACACATACACACACACACACACATAGGTTTGTTTTTATGGTTTATGGGGACTCTCCATAGGCGTAATGGCTTTTATACTGTACAGACCGTATATTCTATTGCCCTTTACCAACCCTACCCCTAAACCTACCCCTCACAGGAAACTTTCAGCATTTTTAGATTTTCAAAAAAACTCATTCTGAATGATTTATAAGCCTTTTGAATTACGGGGACACTGAAAATGTCCTCATAAATCACCTTCTCGTTATAATAATTATGTCATACCCATGTTATTATACAAATTTGTGTCCTCATAAACCACATAAACATGCACACACACACACACACACACAACAACAACAACAACATCGACAGTTTCCAGGTTCATTTATTTATTTAATTGGAAAAAGTCTGCCTAAAACTCGGCCTAAAACTTTACAATAACTTTATAAAACATAATTTGTAACGAGGGAAAGATCCCAAGTACAATTTTTTTTAAAACTTGTTTATTTTTGTGAAATCGAACATTTAGTAAAACTTAAAAATAACTTGATAAAATAGTTACATTAGGCAAAACTATGCTTACCAGATCAATATCAAGAATACTGCATGAGAACGTATACAAACTGCTGATCTGTTAATACGAGGTAAATTATGTTTCCTAATGAATTAATAATGGCCACTGTAGTGTTAGCCAGCTTTTTCGCTCACGACAAATGAATATAAGGTAACACTTTACAATAAGGCTCCATTAGTTAATGTTAATGTATTAACTAACATGAACAGTACATGCTACGGTATTTATTCTCTTGGTTAATGTTAGTTAATGAAGATACAGTTGCTTATTGTTAGTTCATGTTAATTCACAGTGCATTAACTAATGTTAACAAGCACAACTTTTGATTTTAATAATGCATTAGTAAAAGTTTGAATTTAACATTAACCAAGATGAATAAATGCTGTTCATGCTTAGTTCATGTTAACTAGTTAACTTATGAACCTTATTGCAAAGTGTTCCCGAATATAAAAATAGAAATAGACACTACATTCCGAGTAGCTACTAAATCAAAAGAGCAAAACATAAATTGCCAACTCAATTCTCACTGTTTCTGTAGGCCTACTCTATATACTTTATGGATACTGTATAATTTATGCATTTTCAACTAAAAGTGTAAAGTACAGTATACATATTTTATTTTTTGTTGAAAATGCGTCACTCAAACCTTTTAAATCCGTGACTAGACCCAGAATCACACAGTCGCCCTAAATTCCTCAGCTCTTACACAGGGCGGTCACTATTGTGCACAGGCCAGGCTTTCGCACAGTCCTGGAGCTCCACCCTCTCCAAAGACTTTCTGGGATTCTCCAAAACCAAGTTCTACCTCACAGACAGGCCTACAGGCTCCGAGATGTGGACCTCACTGTCCTTGATATCAGTCCTCTCCACTGCCCATTTCACCTTGTGTGACACTCAAACCAATGGAATATTTGAGCCGTACGATCTGCTTTTTGATAACGCGGTGGAGGCGTATTATAAGCAGGACTGGCTGGCTGTGATCTTGAACATGGAAAGAGCTTTGCGGAATAAAGCAGCGCTGCGTAAAATCCAGACGCACTGCCGCTTATCCTGCGCGAATCACACCGCTTTCGGGGACCCTTTCTCAGGTGTGGGTGTCCCGATCCCAGGAACCGGGGCCGTGGAGGATTTAGCGTTTTTCCATAGGATTCTCAAACGGGCCGATTGTGTGAATGCATGTGAAAGCGAGAAACTGGGACCACCGACACTCCATAAAGTTAGTGAGACTATCGAGCTGGAGTTCAAGAAGAGGACGCCTTACAATTACCTGCAAGTGGCTTACTTTAAGGTAAAGAAGAGGCCAGCAAAAATGCATGCACAACTTTTTCTATGAAAACGCAAATGCATTAAAAAAAGTAAACAGGACTGGGGATAAAATCAGTGCATCTCATTAGCACAAAGCTGTTTGTAAACAAAGAATATCGAGTTATCAAATACATTCTATCGATGCATAAATGTGCATCAGGTACATTTGATCAGATTTTGTACACAACATTTATGCATTTGTCACTGAATGGTTAACCGTTTAAGAAGCTCTTCCACGTTTCCCCAACCCCCCCAAACTCACATCACTGTGCCACGTCTTTAGGTGGAGCCTTGCAGAGTTTTAGAACTGCTCAGGGGCTTTAACATACCACTGCCTTGTGGTATGATGGTTTAAATTAGATATACAGTCGGGGGCATGAGCCTCAGACCACTAGGCCTAATGAAATGAAAATCATTGTTGCATTAAAAAACTATAGTATCAACAAGTATGAACACCAAAGTCATCACAAATTTCAAGGATTGCTTCAGTGACAACAGCACTACTTTAATGATAGTCATTGATTTAATACAGTTCCTGGAGGGCCGCAGCCCTGCATAGTTTAGTTCCAACCCTGCTCCAACACACATACCTTGTAGTTTTTAAATAAGCCTTTATGACTTGATTAGCTGGATCATGTGTGTTTAATTAGGGTTGCATCTAAACTGCGCAGGGCTGTGGCCTTCCAGGAACTGAGTTTGACACCCCTGATTTAATATATCATTAAAATATATATAAAAAACGATTTTTTAAAAATGTTTTTTTTAAGTCTTTTATGCTCACCAAGGCATTTATTTGATCAAAAATACAGTAAAACAGAAATAATGTGTAATATTAATTTTATATTTTAATATATTTTATTTCTGTGATGCAAAGCTGAATTTTCAGCATCATTACTCCAGTCTTCAGTGTCACGTGATCCTTCAGATATCATTCTAATATGCTGATTTGGTGCTCAAAAAATTACTAATGTTGAAAACAGTCGTGCTGCTTATGTCTTGCATATGACTTTTAATATGATTATGTATGTATTTATTTATTTTGAAGTTTAGCTATATATTCTAGGAACAATTCTGTCTCTAAAGTATAACTTGGAAAGCATGAGTGTTTTCTAACCAATATTTCTTTGTTTTCTTTGTACTTACAGATAAACAAGCTTGACAAGGCAGTGGCAGCAGCAAACACATTTTTCTTGGCAAACCCTGACCACGTAGAGATGAAACAGAATTTAGAGTACTACATGATGATGGCTGGGGTGCAAGAGACAGATTTCAAGGACCTGGAGGAGAGACTGCACATGGTACGAGCAATGTTTGTTAATCTGAATATGTCTAGATTTTATCCATATGATCTTACTGCCTTATAAAATGTTTATAGTTGACTGTACCTGTAATTGCTGATTTCCAGGCTGAATTTTTAGAGGGCAAGATTCATTACAGTGCAGAAGATTTTGCCCCAGCCATCGAGCACTTTGAAGCCGCTGTTGAAGAATATTTCACCGCTTATGAAGAATGCAGGGTTCTTTGCGAGGGAGCGTTCGATTATGATGGTTACAAGTACATGGAGTATAACGCCGATCTCTTTCAATCTATGACAGGCACGTGGTATTCTGATGCTTTTGATTTAACAACACCAGATTCTCTTTGATTTAATTTGATGTCATTTTAAAATCTCATGGTGTTTGATGTCTCGTTTGATTTCTCTTTTTCTTGTATGTAGTTCTGTTACACTAAATGTTTTATAAATATGTTTTTTTTTTGAGGGATTCATGTCTATGTTTGCTTTGATCACAGATCATTACCTTCACGTTCTGAACTGCAAACAGAACTGCGCTGTGGATCTGGCATCCACCGCTGGAAGAGAGAAGCCTTTTGAAGATTTCCTCCCATCGCACTTTAACTACCTTCAGTTCTCATACTATAACAGTACGATACACTCATCGTCAGCAGAAGCATATTCAGTACCAGATTTCTGTTTTGCTATTGTTAACTAAAAATTAAGAGTTAGTGTTAGTTCTGGAAGGTCACGTGAGTCAAGCTTGCATCAGCTGATTCTACCTATAGGAATACGACACCTATTGCGGCATTCCTATATAAGCTCTATTCAGTATTATTCAGCAGCTTTTCAGCTTGCTCCGGAGCAAATTACCCTCCTCCATCCCCAGCTCCTCCTTTCGCCACAGTCAGGACTTGGCTTTCTGATATTCCTTGCTAATCATACTCCTTTATCTTGAATAAAGTGTTACACTTAAATATCATTAAGTACATTAATGATATCTGCCTTGTTCTGTTCTGTTAACCCTAGGGGGGTTATTATTGCTGCTCTCCCTGCTCATTCATGACAGGCTGCATGGATGGGCAGGGAGTTTTTTGCCCAGAACAGAACCATACCGCCAAACCAAACTTTCACAATCTATCATTTTGACGATAGTGGTCCTGACAGAACCAAAACCAATATTGTTTTATTGCTGTCTATATATTTTTAGTTATTTTAGTATGTCAAATTAAAGTAAATTAAAATAAGAAATGTTGAAACTTTTTTTTTAACGTTTATTTTATTTCAAATAACGAAAATTTTATTTTTTTTAAGGGTTTTAGTTTTAGTTAACTTTAACAACCCTGGTTTCAGTGACTGAAATAAATCTGCAATAAAATAAAATATTAGATAGAAAAGCATAAACAAAATAAGTTTAAGCTTTTTATATTATTTCAGTTAATGTTTATTTTATTTCAAATAATGAAAATGTTTTGTTATGGTTTTCATTTTAGTTAACTATAATAACCCTGGTTTCAGTAATTGAAATAAATCTACAATAAAATAAAATATTAGATAAAAAAGCATACATTTAAAAACTTTTCATTAGAAAAAAAAATGAAATTAAAGTGCCTTTGCAACTAACGAAAACAAGTTGAAGTACTGAAAGTCCAAAATTAATAACACTGAAAAATACTAAATATGAATATAAAAAGTAAATTCAAAATATTAATAAATATTCTAGTAGTATATAAATAATGCTAAAATAACATGGCCAGAATTAGCATTAATCAAAAATGCATTATATGTGAGTATATATATATATTTATTATTGTTGTATTTGTGTATATATA